TTCAAAAGCTCAGAACAAATGACTTGACAGTACACTTATCGATTAGTATCCATATTCTTTATAACTCTTAACGGCAGTTACATTATCATTATATACAGAATGTCCCAGAATGACCAGCAAATATTTCATGCGCAGGTAGAGCAGATTAAACTGAATCGAAAAGTCCTCTACTATTTTGCAATTTTCGCAATAGTTAACAAGATATCAATAACTAAATATTTTTTAATAATTTTTTACTCCAGTATTATCAACTTTACAAAAAAACAGCAAAAAACAAAAATTGTTTGTTTTCTCATTCTTGTTTTCAATTCTGAGAATTTTTTCAGAATTTTTTAGTATCGCATTTTCTCTTCTATTAATAAAAAAAAATAATTGCCAATAAGAAAATGCAATATTAAAAAGTTGATAAAAAATTCTGAAAAAATTTTTAGAGCTCTATAAGAAGAAAATAAACAATTTTTGTCTCTTATTGTTTTTCTGTAAAGTTGATAGTACTTAAGTAAAAAAATTATTAAAGACCAATATTCGATTTTTAAGTAATTGATATCTTGTTAACTATTGCAAAAATTGCAAAATGATAAAAGACTTTTCGACTCAGTTTAATCCGCTCTACCTGCGCGAAATATTTACCGATCATTCTGAGACATCCTTACACACACACACACACACACACACACACACACACACACACACACACACACACACACACACACACACACACACACACAAAATAAAAAAAGCCAATATTAAGATTTTATAATAAAAAAAAAGCTGATACTGTATCGTTATCAAGAGTCAACTCTTAGTCGGCGGATCTTGGATTCGATCCCTCTCACATATATTATTTTCGATTCACATTTTACGTAAGATAAAGGCATAAATAGGCGCAGAGTGGTTCGCCGCTCAATGCGATTGACTCGTGATCTGTGGCTCCGGGTTCAATCCTACCTGCGCCCCACATATATAATTTTTCGCGTTCGCCTTTCGGATTCGGCGTTAAACTGTAGGTCCTTTCGGGTATTGACAAACACTAAGGAATAAGAATGCAAACTACTACCAAATACAAAAATATAAGCAAGCCTCTGCTCCCCGAAGAAGCTAAAAAGTTAAAAATTGATACGCATGATACTGTGATTCCTCAAATGAGATCAAAAAATTCAGGGAATGTACTAAGAGGCACAAATAATCTTTGTATTTGTAAAAACTGAACTTACTAAAAAGATAAATAGAGAAGCTAGGCAGCAAAAAAGTACTCTAAAATGACTTACTTAGAACTGACATTGTGAATATGAACCGCTTGTAAATTCTCCTCTTTTTCCGCATGTAACTGTTTAATTTCTTGTTTTATCTTCATGACATTTCTACGACTTTCAGCGATTTCTTGCGTTATATGTTTCAATAGTTCCGACACAAAGCTTTCTTTGAATGCTAATTCCTTATTAATAGTTTGGATTTCGTTATTTCGTTCTGTTTGTCATAATGCGTGTTCCTCGTCCTTTTTAACAAAGTAATCTAAATTATCCTCGATGTCGTTCAATTCCTCTGTACATATATATTCTATATCTTCTTCCGTGTGCATGACACAATGTTTGGAGTTGAATATTTTATGATTTATAAGTTCTTCGAATGCTTTCTTCTCGTTATTTTGGATATCTAAGCGCATAAAATAACATCAAATTAAAGACTCAAAGTTTGTAATTTATAAAAAAATAATTAATGCAATGTTCACACACAAAAAAATTCACCTAACATCTTTTCATATATTTACTTTTAATTTATTTCGCTTTTCATCGATTTCGGGACAAGAATCGAAATCTTGTAAAACTTGCTTGAATTCATCAAGTAATAACGATATAGTAAATCTGATTTTTTCCCGAACTTGTTCAGCCATCTCCGCTCGTTCGTGCATAACTACGATTTCTCCTAAATTCGAATTCAACTTTTCCATCATATCTCTAAACTTTTGTTGTAATACGCTATATCTCTCCTCGAATGCCTCGTACCTCCTCATATGCCTTCGGACATGTTATGCCAAATTTCTGATTCGCAAGAGCCAGCCGCAGTTCTTGTACTAATGTGATCAACCGATTGATCTCTGCTACTTCCGGATCTTGGTTCACAATTGGCTTATTCTTTATCTTGCATGCGCGATCCGCATATCTCAATGTACTAAGAGTTTCGTTCAAGTTATAATCTACAAATATTTTCATAAGTTTTCATAAGTTGATAGATGTTGAATATATATTAGAATATAAGTAGGCACAATTACTTAGACAGACGAGGGCATAGAAGAGAATAAGAGTGTCCGAATACCAACCAGCAAGACTGACACAAGCAATCATAAGAGTCATGGAATTACCACCCAAGGAATCTTGCAACAATCTTGTAAGTTTATTGTAAGTTTATTATCTCTGTATCCGATATATGTTCCAGAGGCATCATCACCAAGTTGTGAAATAACATTCTCCAAAGCCAATAATCCCTTGTTTATATTCACACTTTCTTTAAATCGTTCTCCAATTGTTCGAGTTTTTTTACTACGTTCGGAACCCGCTAAATCAACCAAATGAAATTTCGCCACTGTCGCTGTATTCCTGTTTGAAAAGTCGAATTATTTCCATTCTCACACATTTAGTGTCGCAAGCTAGAATAATAGAATAAAAAACAATAGTAGGAAGCAATATTAGAAAGCAACAATTATTCACGGATCATCTTTCTTTTGCTGATGTATACATAATGTAAATATAGCATGACTATGACTGCTATGTGCATTCATTGCGGTTGCACCCGTTATGCGACCCAGGGAACCTTGGGCCAAACATTTTAACGTTTCTCGAGCATCTTCAACTGGTTTCTCGTTTATACCGACAATTCTTATATTTTTATCGTCCTCTCTAATATCTACAATGGATTGGTTTTTCTGCTTATCAGACAAAAGATCATACAATTGTTCTTGATACAATTCCATGAATGAAACTACTTTGAAATTCCAATCTTTCTTAGATTTAATTAGATTTCAAATATATCATATACAGCTCTTGGTATAATACCCTTCTCTTCCACACCTGTATAATTGGTACCCATGGAATGGGTTTTGCCACTTCCAGTCTGTCCATATGCTAATATTGTAACATTATAGCCTACAAAATTATTTATCTTTAATGTAATACAAACGCAACATTGTATCTAAAAAATATAAAGATTTGAAAAAATATGAAATATTTACCTCGAAAAATATTATCTATGAGTTGTTTAATCGCTATGTTATAAAAATCTTCCTGTCCAATGTGAGGAGGAAACGGATAATTGTATGTGAACACTTTGTCAGTATTGCGTATACAGACTTGCGGTTCTCCAAGTGTAACATCTAAACATGTTTGGCAACCTTTTTCAAGTTCATTGTCTATTAATGGACGGATACATAGAGAAACGCTAACCGTACTATCACACATCTGCAATAACAATGTTACATTAAATATACATTAAATAAATTGGAAATACAGCATAGAGGCATTATATCACATCCATTATACCGTTATTATATATTTAACAATATTTTTTGAGATTCATACACAATTCACATTTTAATGAAAAATAAAATTATTTTTGAGTTATCAAGACAATATATATACAAACACACATCCGTTTATTCAATACATAAGAGTTAAACTTGAAAGTTCAATTTAAGATAAATACATACAATTATTAAAAGTAATATCAGAAGTTAGTAATAAGATTAAGAATATATGCTGTAATTCATAGAAGTTGAAAGCTTTTAAACATCAACCAATAAGTGGAGTCTTAAAAAAAAAAACATTTACACATTTTGTTATGCCAATAATATCAAATATTCGTCTAAACATTCATAACACCTTGTCTGGCTGTGCAACTTTCAATATTTCTAAGTCTCAAATGGAGGGATTCAGTCAATAGGATGTCTCTTTTGTCAAATAAAAATAACCACATCCATTAATAAGAAAAAAGATTTTACAAGAAAAAAAGAATTTATAAGAAAATTACTTTAATTACATTTATATTCTTTTTAAAACGAGAATCGTTGCACAAATTTTGTTATTATTGGATAGTTAAAGTACCTACTTTTACAAGATTATCAAAAATTTTTTACGGTATAATGAGTGTGATATAATGCCTCTATGCTGTATTTCTAATTTATTTAATGTATATTTAATGTAACATTGTTATTGCAGATGTGTGATAATATGGTTAGCGTTTCTCTACGTATCCGTCCATTAATAGACAATGAATTTGAAAAGGGTTGCCAAACATGTTTAAATGTTACACTTGGAGAACCGCAAGTCTGTATACGCAATACTGACAAAGTGTTCACATTATCGTACTTACCGTTCATACAATCTCTCGACTCACCATCGGAATATAAAAAAATCTAAAAAAATTATAGACAACTCACGGAGAACTACGAGACATCATATATATATTTCTTCTTTTAGTAATATCTAATTATTTAGTTTATAATTAGTTATACCAGCCTACCTTTCAGCGAAGGTCAATACAATTAAATATTACGCACATATGTGTAACAAAAGTTTTCCGACTTCAAACTGTTGACAACACGCGGGCTGCTTTCCGTTTCACATGGTTTCACGCATGATACAACATTTATCCTTGTTTAACATTCAGTGAATAACAAGGATAAATGATGCATCATGCCAGAGACAAAACCGCATGCGCTGATCATGCGCATCATGCTAGATGCAGCCACGGTATTGACATTAAGGCGTCTTTACATGGTGACGTCAAACGTTAATAATTTTACTGAAATTGAATTTAATGTACGAGATACGCTAATAGTGGAATCTTGTTTACACTGTATAATGTAAATATAAAAGACTCCGCACAAAATCGTAGGATTTTTTGGTCCTTGGTAAAATTGGCTAAAATTTTAGTACATATTATAGTCTTATCTTATTATAATCTGAAAATATACAAATCAAATTGAGATGTGAAGCAATTCTAATTTCCAATAGAATATATAGAAGGCAATAATAAGGATGTACTTTGCAAAAAATGGAAGTTTTAATTTCTTCCATTATGGCAACACTGATATCCACGCAACCCACGTGATCTCTACATATATATATCGATCGGCGTTCGATCGAAGTTAGTCGAATCAACTCAGTAATAAAATCTAGTTACTGGCTTTCTGTGACAAACAATTGGTAAATGACGCGAGCCTCTCTCGTGACTGTGTTGATGCTACTTTGCATAGCACGGAATATCCGTTCCCAGATTTACCAAAACATGTCGAGTCTCGCTGGCGTGCATTCTGTGGCGTACGTTACCGTGCCAGACGACGCAGTTGCAAAGAGATTAGCACGGTAAGAGTAACACTAGAAAATAATAAAAATTATTGTTATGCCTCGATGAGAAATGTTCCTTTAACGCGTTCTCTTTTTTTTTTCATAAAGAGGTCTAGTCGAAAACAAGCTCGCTGCCTGTGTTAACATCATCCCGCGACTCACGTCCATGTAAGTTTTTCTTGTATTTATTGTTCAATTTATATTTGGACTAGGATTGTGTTTAAAATAGTGATCTCTTTTTCATGTGTATCTAAATAAATACATGATTTGAAGGACATGTATTTACATTATCTGTGTATCTCAATATATGGTTGCACGTGTATTGAAATATACAGGTACCACGTGTTTAGCGTCCATATTATGAGCCGAAACTCAAGCCAGATCTCGAATCATGAACATTTCAGTAAACATTTGGGTAAATGTTTACTGAAAAGTCTCCAGTTCATTCAAATTTTGATAAAAAAAACTCAATCGATGTATTTTCTTATGAAAACGAAGAATCTAAAAAAAAACAAGTGTTGCTTTGTCCCGCGAGATATTTTAAATTAAAGTTGATGACTACGCAGATTAGGAAATCACGCAACACTGCTTCAAAACAAATTATCGGAATTTTAACCCATGTAAACAATGAGATGTGCAGACAGTAAGGCCGGATTCATACCTTGACGGAAAAGCAGAAAGCGGAAAAGCGGGAAGCCAATCGGATCAGCTTACAACTAATGTAGAACCGGTTTTAACTCTTAATAAACATGGTTTTTAACACCCTTGTATTAAATATTATTTGTAATATTACACATTATAATATACAGGATGATATAGTATAATATGTATATTATCCGTATATTATAAAAAACATTTTCCTATATAATAAATTATAGTTTTTTTTTAAGACAATAGCAATAACAAAATGCATTGTTTAAAATGTACTATAGCTTTAATTTATAGCCATTCTTGCACATTAAAAAAACATCACTTTCAGATAACTCAATAACTAAATTTTTGGACAGCCCACACTGAACTATTCTTCTTCTTGTAATTTCTTTCTTCTTTTGTAATTTGGAATGTCAACTTTAAGATATTGAAACATATTTTTGTTTTAGAGTTTTACATTTTTGTATGAAAAAGTATTTTTCTTCAATTACTACTTTAATAATATTTTTAATTACACTACTGTAATAATATTACAAATTAAATTAAATTGAGCAACAAGCAATTTTTAATAATTTGATGTTCAATCTATATTAGAAAGATGTTAATATGCTGAAAAACTATAAATAAACTGCCTCGATAGTCTAAAAGCTTAAGACTCGTATGAAATACAAAAAATCCGGTTTCAACTCCTGGCTAAGATAATTTTTTTTCGCAGTAAATTTATTTACAGTTTTTCAATATATAAACATCTTTTTAATAAAATGCCAGATCGAGCATCAAATTATTAAATTGCTTATCAATTTATGATACTATAATAATTTGATTGCGTTTATAAGTCTGGAAATCCAACTTGTCGCGTAGTTCAAATGATTAAATACGATATAAATGCTTGTACATAGTGTGTGTGTGTGTATATACATATAAAAAATTCACATTTCCAGATAGCCAAACGTACAGCATATTGTGCAAACTAATGCATTACATATGTTGTTATATATTTGCTGTACATCATTTGTTGACATCAAAATAAGATACATTATAAATACAACAATGCTGCTTATATACGTAATCAATTATCAAAATTTTTAGAGTAAACTGTGAGCAATAGTGATACATTATGGGCAACATGACGGCAACATGTTAGCAATGAATAATTAATCGTTTTACCTTGAGCTTGTTGCTAACAAAATGCTGACAATATGACAATACGAGTTGTTATCAAGGATTCATGCTGACATATTGCCATCAATTAGCAAGAATTCGAATTGAGTTCAATGCGAATATACATAATGCTGTCTCACTTTGTCTTGAGTTTGTTGAAATTGGTTGCTGTCAGCAAATACACTTTCTATATGCAGTGTATTTAGCTATCTGATTGAATTATTTAAGCATTAAAGATCCAGTTTCGATCATTATAGAGGCTTTAAATTCTTACTTTATGGCATTTATAGAAACAATTTATGGTTTATCAAAGTCTACATTCTTGGTTGCATTATAGATTGTACTAAAAGCTTCCATCTCGCTTATATATTTTTATTTCAATACTTAATACTAAAATTAGGTATATTAACAATTATACAACTTAATTATTTCTTTCTATATTATGTTATCCAATTTATATAATAATTTATACATTGTTTGTGTCTTATGCACATGAAAAAGACTTGCATAAACTTTAACGTAAAAATTTTATTTAAATGTAATCTTGAAATATACAGCACAATCCTAGTTTAGACAGATCGAAAAATTGTTTCTCCAATAGTCTTAGGGAAAACTTCAATCTGTCAAAGACTTTTGATTAAAGAATAAGTATTATATTACCTTCACAGATACGAATGGGAAGGAAAGATACAAGAAGAGTCTGAACTTTTGCTGGTAAGAAAGATTTATCAAATTTTGTATACATTCAGTCATGCAAATATAAAATTATTATTGATCATCTGTCTACGCTATAGATGATAAAAACTAGGACGGAGAAAGTAAATGCTCTAACAAAATATGTCAAGTGAGTTGAATGTATGACTAATATATCTATTTTAAAAATACATCAATGTTTATAACTTGATCTTTTTCAGAGAAAATCATCCATATACAATTTGCGAAATAATCTCTTTGCCCGTAAGTTAATTTGCGCATTTTATTCTGCTGGAATAGCTTCGTAATACTTTTATACAGTCGAGGAGGAGAAAAAAATTGAGACAAAACAATAATTTGATAATGAATAATATAATTGGATGAATACATTGGAATACAAGGCACATAAACTGTATGATTAAAGACACAACTACTTAAACATTTATATTTTAGATACAAAATGGAAACAGCGATTATCTGAAGTGGATCAGCGAAGTGGTACCATCGCTTGATAAAACCGCTTAAAATAATTAAAATATATATATTCATAATAATGACTATGTTTACACGACATCTTTAATCGGATTTAATAACATCTGTAGTTTATAAAATTGACCAATCATATCTATTCTTGTGAAGAATGGAATGATTGGCCAGTTTTATAACTGCGGATGTTATTAAACCTGATTAAAAATGTGTCATATAAAGGTAGTCAATAATTCATTGATAAGATTGAGATTGGTAAAAACTTCCGATAACCAACTCCCGATTCATTATAAAACTCCGGTAAGAATAAAAAAGAAACTAATCATAACATGCATGTAATAAGATAATATATAGAATGTAACACTTCTGTTAATTATTATATATTACACAAACAGACAAGAATTTTAAGATCCAGAAACGACAGTATATAATCCCCAAAATTTTTGGCATGCTAAAATCAAATCCGTAGCCCAAATTGCTCCATCATGTCAGGTTTCCAAGATATTTTAAGCTAAAAGTGCTAAAAAGGCCTATTTTGGGCACCTTTAGATTTAAATTTCTCGTAAACGTGATATGATGGAGAAACATGGGTCGAATTCAGCAAAAAAATTACGAAAATCACTTATAATTATATATAGATCAGCTCAGTAAAATAAAAAAAAAACAGATATATTGTAGGAGAGTATGTTCACCAGCCTCAAGGCACCTACAAATGATATGGCCAATGTATAGGCTAACGTTATACTATTCCCTAAATATTGATTACATACTGTTGTTTCTGAGTAAAAAAAAAGATGTTTTTTGGCCTGTGTTATTAGACATTCATCAGTCTGCAGTTTTATGCACATATAATATTGTGTACCTTCATTACTTATCATGTACTTATGTTATAAAATTTAATTTTTACATAGTATTTTTCAAGTAAAATACACCAAACCTTCCTACATGATAACCTCTCTTAAGTTAACAATTCTACTTATCAGTAAAATCAACTCAAACTTTTTGAATATATTTAGTACTTTTTTGTATCATTATATATATTTATATAAGAATATATTTTGTACTAATTTGTACTGTTAAAAGTAATTTTGTATTAATTCAATCCTATTAATTTCTGATCATAATCTTCTTTTTTTTTATTTTAAAGTGATCCTGCCAACTTGATAATCACTTTTTTCGAAATATGCATAGAGAGGAAGTGCGCCCAGTCGGACCTAAGGTTTTCTCAAAATTGGAAAGAATCGAAAATGAGAATCAGTAATGGCCTTAGTTTACATCGTGCACTTGATACAGGTATTATAATTAATCATTTTGAAGCATGTTATATCAATATATTGGTCTGGGTCTAAGAAATTGACTAATCACAATCTAATGTGAGGAGAAAAATTGGCTATGATTAATCAATTTCTATAGCTTGAGGCTTAAAGTTTAAGTTTTATATCTTAAAATCTTATTGTAGACACTGCTTTAGCCCGTATCTATAATAGATTTTTAAGCCTTAAGTTAAGAAATGGATGAATCAAAATTAATTATTCTCCTCATATTCGATTCTAATCGATCAATTTCTTACGGTTTAAGGCTTAAAACACTTATTGTAGATCCGGGCTTAACCTCTTTCAACTTAAGATCTTTTAAAACAAAGTTGTGAACCGAGACTTATATTTCACAAAGACAAGATATTGACGTTCGGTACAGGACAATGTCCCAGGATATTGAACGCACTTCCTCTAATACAAAATTATATAAATTACACTCAAAGAAAAGTACAGCAGAAAAATTAGAAAAATTTATGAAACTTCAAATGCTCGTAACTCAATAAATAATTATGATACAGAGGATTATGATTCAAAAAACAAAAATTAAGCTTGAAGTCTATATTTTAAGAAACTTCTAATACCGATTGAGTGGCATCAATAATTTTCCAATGGCCGATGATAGAGTGAGGACCTGCAAAATTATCAAGTAGATCTCCTATTTCTGGAGTTGCACCTCTGTATCATAATTACTTACGAGCATTTGAAGTTTCGTAAACTTTTCTTCTGTATCGCTTTTTTTTTGATTGAGTGTATTAATCTACAAATTAACACATAAAAAGTACTAAATATTCAAATAGGTTTAACTGAAATAATCCTATTAATTATTTTATCCATTCATTCATTCAATGGCACTACGATCCAAATCGAAACGCTGATGATCGAAGATATTTTTAATCACAAAGTGAAGTTCTTTTCGGCTTCTTAAACGCGAAAAATCATGCGCAGGTGAAATTGACCTGGATCTATAAATCTTGAGTATCAAGCTACTCGACGCTCTCAGCTTAACAGAATTACATAACATCAAAGTCTTACAATACTGACGTAAATGCTTGCTCTTATATAAAACATTGACTAATTTATTATTTATTTGATTTTCATACAAATAAAAAATTTATGTCGTACAGCATTTAAAATCTTGATTCAAAATAAAATTAATAACATTTTATCAATTGCTCTTATAAAAAGATACATTATAGTTTTTGTAAATTACATGTTTTTTGTAATTTATCAATTTTTACTTCTAGGTATTTTATTTCTGTTTTTTTTTGTGATTACCATGATCTAGATATATTATAAATATAAAAAAAAAATAATTTCCACACTGATAGAATTGTCAATTTTGTTCATCATAAAAATAGTATCAAAATTGTTTTGAAAACAATAAGAAATATAAAAAAAATATATATTATAATAAATTCGGCTATGAATATATATTTAATTATTAATTTATACAAATTAATAATTAAATATTGTAAGACACAATTTAATATTTGAAATTTATCGCGCACTTAGTACAGCGCTAATTCCCATAGCCGAATTTATTATAATATATTTTTTTTGTATATATCAGGGAATTAAGATTATCATTTTGTTTAAATAAAAAATATAAGATCGGCTCGCATAAAGGAGACACATCAGTGTCTCGTGTCATGCTTACCACCGAGACACTACCGTGTCTCCAGATAAATTGAGAATAATTTTAGAGTATAAATATTTAAAGTATATAGACTCCAAATTATTACAAACCAATTCAAGATCTAAATATATATGCACGATATTTAGAATTAAAATAAATGATAACATCAAATTTGATTTAAAATAAGATGAAAGAAAATTTAACTCTATGATCCGAACAAATAATATAAAATAAGCAAGTCAATATTAATAATTTAATAAAGACGATATTATCGTTCACCTTGATAACCAGGATAAATTAATAATAATGCAGATGATAATGTCTCATTGACCTTCATATCATAAGTATTACCTAGAGAGTATCGACATACAGGACAAAAATAAATCTCGGAAGCAAAACTCCGTTTTAAACATTTTAAACAAATGTTATGTTTACAAGGTGTCGTTACAGGATTGTAAAGTATCCCAAGACAGCAAACACATTTAAATCTACAAAATATAAAATTTTATTGTATCAAGTATCAGGTTGTGTCACTTAAAAAAATATTTAATACTTTATATAAAGCATATTACCTCTCTGAGACACAATCCAAAAAAGCAGGTTTCCCATTGATTAACGTTGCTCTACACTCATCCCATAATTTAGCATTTACTTTATCATTTTCTATTAAATTTTTCAATTTATCCTCCAAATCAAAAACTAACTTAGACTTCTTGGATTTCTTAATAGGAATACTGCCTTCTTCATCACTGTCACTGATGGATCGTTTCTTAGCTGAGATTTTTTTTTTCATATTATTTTCTTGATTCAGATATCCATCAGGATATAACATCTTTAGACCAAGAAATTCTATTCTCTTTTTTCCTTCTTTGGTCCACGGTGCAGGAGTAGGATCGTCTCTTCTTAATACATACTTCCATATAAGAAAACCGTTACTTGTGTCAGGATAATATTTCACTACTTTATATAAACCATCGTATCTGTGAGAGAATCAAAAATTGTTATCGAAGGATCGTTAAAGAGTGATATATTACAGATCTATAGGAGTAAAAATAATGTATTCGATGTACCTGTTACCTTCCTCCGGTGCATATTTACTAAATTTTCCTAATTTATAATTGCGTACAACTCGAACTGGTTTCCCATGTCTCCAATTATTCCCAGCCGACGCACCAATCTTTTCATTTATGGAAGCATTACAATTCTTAGCTAATGCCAAATTCATTCTTTGTAGTACCTGATTTTTGCTTTGTGAATTGGTTCTTTTGTTACCTGTTATCCATAAAAAATATAAATACAAATATGCTTGCCTGTGTACGTGCATTGAATATATATAGACACATTTTACAATTGGATTATGATAAGCAACAATTCTTTTTAAAATAATGAGAATAGGGCTACGAGTCAAGGTCTTGATGCTATATTATTAAAAAACAAATAGAAAGTTATTAAAACATATGTTTCGACCTCAATTGGGTTATTTTCAATGTTAAAACAATATAATGCAATTTAAAATTCAAACGGAATTAATTAATCACTGTAATTACTAGAACAAAAAATTATAAAAATATAACAGTATCATCTAAATTCATCGCTATGAATGTGAAATAAATTCGAAACAGACGTATCGTTTAGCGCCAGATGACCGTAGTCAAGGAGCACTCTTTTATATTTTTTATTATTTAACAATAAAAATAAAATAAAATAAAAAATAACTTCTAAATATATTATTAAATCACTTTGTACGGATGTTCTATAATAGAGCCAACGGGTATAATCAAAAGCGTATAGCACAAAGCACATTTTGTAATACAAAAATGACAATTAAGCAAATTATAAAGTTTAGTCTAAAAAATAATAGAGATCTAATGAAATTAATTTTAAACAAAATGTATTATGAATAACATGTCACAAAATAAAAAGTTGTATTAATTATTAAAAAAAATCTAAATTTTAGAGGAACAGTATAATATAAAATATAAAATAAATAATACCTCATGAATTGGTTGCAATCTATCGCAAATTTTTTTATTTAAAAAAAATATTCGAAAACGGTATATTGAATTGATTAGAAGAATTAACTTGATTAAAAAAATTATTTTTAATTTAGTATAGAATACCTGACAAATCTCTACCACCCGAGCCGCTGTATAAAAACTCATCACCGTTGTCGTAGTCCTCCGCATATCCACCCGACAAAACAATAGAATATGCACAATCATTTTCTCGTCCATGGATGCCACCTACGGGCGGTCTATGCACTCCCGCTTCCGAAACCTAAAGAGATCTCTTTTTCATATTCATTTGAAAGACAGATTTATCAAGATCAAGACATACGTGGAAGAAACTATATAGAATTAATTTTCTTTACCTGTATTCTAAACATCCAAGTAGTACCAACATCCACACCTGGAATTTCTCCACTATAATCAGAAGAAACAAGGCCGCAGACTTTTTGTCTCCCAACACAAGCCATTCCACCACCCCATTTTCGCTCCTTTTCAGAGCAGATAAATTTTTTTTTTGTCTTTTTCAATTTGTCTCCTGCCTATAATAAATAAATAGAATAATAACGACACTGATAATAAAAAATATGGCAAATTATCAATAAAAGTATACATGCCTTGACAATTTCGTTTTCATCGATTTTGCATCCAGGACAATACCAATCAGTTTCTTCTGGCAGTTTTAGAAGTGGTGGGTTCAGGCATTTCATATGAAACATACAATCGCACTCATCGCAAATCAAAAGTGTATCCTCTTCTTCTTTGCCTGCACAGATTTTACAGCCGCACTTTCGACATTCTTCATCAGGATTGTCCTCGCACTCATCACAATTAGGAACTGTAGGTCTGCGTTTGCCGTTACTCATCATTAATCGTTTGTCTTCTGCAGTTCTCTCTGTTAATAATTTGGGTGCTTCTATAGCGTATATCTCTTCTTTGACTCTCTTTCGAATGGAAAGAGCAGTATCGCTGTGTTCAAAGAAAAAATTAATACAAATCAAAATTTTTTTTGTGTAATTTTTGTACATTTTAAATTTTACACATTTTATTATTTTGCTGATATAGCAAAACAAAAATATACCTGTTGATATGCAATTGTCCAAACAACTCCCGTAATTTTCTTTTCGTTATTATATCAGTTACAGTGAAGTCATACCACAGTCCAATTTTCTCAGCATTATCCAAGTTATAATTAATCATGACTTTTTGACCAATGGATAATTCGTCAAATAATATAGAACGTTGTGCACGCGGTCGTATATATATTTCGGCTATATCGTCAGGGCACAATGTATTATCAAACTCCCATGATATTTTATAGAACATTTGAGCTTCTTTTTTATAAATATTTTCTATAATAGCTTCATACCAGGCACCAGTCTTGTCATACATGCAATCAACTGCATCACCAATTTTGTAATATAAACTCTCAGCTTTTTCTAAATTTGTTTCTAGTGCTTCTTTTTCTAATGCTTTTTCTTCGTTCACTTTTTCCTCTTTTGTATTTTCTTTGTCCTCAACATCATTTAGTAATGTCTTTATCATAAGCAATATGGTGTCATTAAATTTAATATTGTAATTAGCAAGATGATACCCACTTTCTAATTGTTTTCCAGAAAAAAATAATCGTTGAAAGTCCTTTTTAACATTCAGCTGTTTTTCAACTTCACACTGAATAATGAAAAACATCCATATAAATATATATTGTTAAATAGTATTTATAATCAAATCTTATATTTCAGAGAATATATAAATATTTCGAAAGGCGTTCAAATTGAAATTATAATTTATAACACTTCAACAGAATTATAAAATTAGGTACAAAGCAACCTGTATGTCTGATTCTGAATGATTTCAGAGAGTTACAAGTATTGTAGTAAAAAAATATGAATAATACATAGTAAATATTATTTAAGGCCATAATCACGCTACAGGTTGCAGGTTCTATTTTCACCAATCATGTCTCAATTAATCTGCACTTGCTGCATCATAAAATAGAACCAGCAATCATAACCGACAACCTATAGCATGATTATAACCTAATGTTAATTATTCTATTTAATGCTTTATAAAAAATGCTCAAAAATTTCTCCATTAACTTTGACAGACTTTCTAGCATGAAATAATAAATTAGTTGCTTTCAGAAAAAATCTATTATATTAAAGATTATCTATAATAAACAAGTTATTCTACATTATGAATTATAAATAAACATAATCCCTTTTTTACTCAGTGCACACTCAGGAAATGATTTTTTTCTACTGAATGCAGCCATTATTGTTTCAGATTTGTTGAAAAATATTTGACATTTTGCAGATGATATTGGAAGTATCAGTTGTCATAATTTTATTAGGTCCTGACCTCACACCATTGGATTTTTTTCTTTAAGAACAAATGAAAGACCTAGTCTATTGAAATTATCTGTGAAATTCCAAATATTTTTCAACAGTCTAGATACAATAGCTGACATGAACGATATTTATTGTTGTATTTAATGTATATTCTTATTATATTCTTACAATATAAATAATATGATAAACGATACCTTTAACTCTTCCACGGTGGTACATCTGGTAACTTTCAGCGATATCTTTTTCCCGTCTAAAGTTTTTAATTTAATAGACATATTAACTGAATGAAGTTTTCGTTGTTAGATAAGAGAAATAATCAGAATCGTAGAATGATGATTGGAATGAAGATCGAATTCTGGACGAAGATTAGAGGTTAAGATGAATACAAGACCAAGCTGAAATGTGAGAACACGTCATCCAAGACAAAAATGAAAGAATGAACGATGAAAAATACCAAATCACTTTTGCTTATGCACTTTGCGTATGCTGCTCTATCTATTCGTTGCCGTTATTTCAATCAGTTTGATGTGACGAGCAGTCATTGGATGTCATCAGACTTTGGCGGGAATACAGAAGCGGGAACAGATGTATCGCTATACAACTGATAGCGCCCTGGAGAGGGAGAAGTCGTTGGCAGATGTTGGAAGGAAGAGGGGGAAGAATCCTCCCCTCCCCTAATTCGATCGTAAAGCGGGAAGCATAAGGTTTGTTCATGTCCAACAAGCTCCAACATGCTCCAATATGTTCCTATCACAGCTCCTATACTCATTCTATCAAGCGCATTGGAATAAGTAAGAGCTGATGGTAGGAGCATATTCACAACATGTTCGTTCCAGCATGAAAAACAAATCTACAGACTCTTACATAACGCATAACACGTGCATAAGAAAATGTACCAATCAAAGTCCTTCGTTCCTTTCCATAAAATAAAGACCAACTTTGATTGGTTGGTTTTCTTATGTCTTATACATTATGCAAGAGTCTGTGTTCCCCGTTTAAACTTGTTTCAATGATAAAAAGGATCACTTGGTCAAAATTGACGAATGATATTCATTGACCTCTGTTAGGGGCTCCGCACAATAAAAGGAACAAGGAACAGAGAATAAGAATTTTAACTGATCTGTGCATTCCACAATACATGATTTCTGATGGATTGAAATTCTTATTCTCTGTTCTCTGTTCCTTTTATTGTGCGGTCTCTTAGGGTATATTCACACAAACTTACATAGCCGCATATAAAGAAAATTATCCAATCACATTTTACGTGCATCTATAGGAGAAATGCGATTTGATAATTTTTTTATATGAATACACCCTTACACGGCACGCTTAGATCCAGTTCCACCAATCGATTAAGCTTAATTGTCATTAACTGTCAACCGATCATTGGTCAACTAAATAACAGCAAACTCGATTGGTCAGTTTCATAGCTACGGATATTATTAAATACGATTAATGCCCGTCTGAAGTTTTCATTTTGAAATCAATGCTTCATATTGGCTGTCGCAACAAACTTGCGATCAGCTTGCATCTAATGTAGAAAGGGCTTTAGAGACCATCTTAAGTACAGTTTTAAGAAGTCACGAACCAATCAGATGGCCGTATTAACATCTTAAGACATTACTTAAGATGCTCTCGAAATAAGAACAGACTGTGGCTGATATTCATAGTCGGTATTCACAGTTCTTATTTTAAGATCTCAAATAATGTCGTAAGCTAACGCAACCTTCAGGGGATCGATTGTGGATTTTGAAAGGAAATGAAAAATGAGCAATACTAATACTACTATTGACCAATTAAATTATGAATATTTTAATAAATTCGCTTACTTTTGTAATTTTCACCTCATTTGAAGATATACATTCGACTCCTGATTGATCATGACTTCTTAAGACTGTACTTAGGTCTCAAATATAAAATCTGACTGTATAATATTGGTCATAGTGACTTTATTCAATGTTGGTAAAATGGAGCCATCTTGTATTAAGTAAAAGAGAGCGGAAGTCGTACAGGAAACGGCAGACGGCGCGGGCGCGAACGGCGGTAACCGGATGTATGTACGTCGGGTGTCGAAACAGCAATCCGACACCTGTCGACATCATCGAAACCGTTACCTAGGTGGGAGGTTCATACACCGCTCGCCATATTCGACCCGTCGTACGGCGGGAATAAATGCGCGCGGGTGCCGCGGATCGCGGTGCCGAAGCCGCGGCGCCGCGTTTGACGCTGCGAGTGCTTGTCGACGGTGACGCCGTCGGCCATGTTTGTTGTGTAGTTTCGGAGGGATGATAAGCGCACGCGACGGACGGCGTCGGAAGATTTTGAATGAGACGCGTGTGTAAGCCTCGGCCGCGTTACGTCCGTTCCGTGCCGGTGTGCGAGCGCGCCGGCCGCCGCCGACTCGTCGCGGAGTATGGTAAGCAATCGCTTTTCATTCTTTCCTCATGTCCGGCCGGCCCACCCACCGATTTTCGCGCGAATTTTCACCTGTCCCACGATTCCTTCGCTCACTGTGGTTCGTTGTCATCTCCGCGCCCCGTAACCCGTTACCCCTCCTACCGATCTTCATCACCGTCGCCATGCCGCGCCGTTACGATGCGATGCAACGTAACGTCATGTCGTATATTTTGAAAAATCCTTGTGCGAACAGAATAAGCAATCCTCCGTCAGATTCTAGAATTCTTTTAAGAATTCGTCGACCGGCATGTAATGTCTCCCGGCGAAACCGCCGCGACGCGAGGCGACGCGACGCGACGTACAGGCGGCGGGCCGCATGTAAATCGATATACGGCTCTCCGTACCGCGTATGTGTGTGAATGTGTATATTCGCGCGCGTCTGCACACGGACGTATCATACGTTCATACGCGGCATACGCATCGGGAACGTTGAGCGTGGGCGCCGTAAGAGGCGACTTGAATGTGTGTATGAGTGCCCTCACGCACACAGACGCGCTTCCGGAACGCCCCTTTTTATGAAACGATCGAACTTCTTTCCCGCGCGATCTTAGCCGGCGCGAAACATCCCGCGCGCTGATGTCTCGTGAGATCTCGGCTCTTTGAAATCTCCTCACAACCTGTGATTACTCTTGTCTTGCTTCTAGCTGCCGAACGCCGCGGCATCCACGACACTTGACAGATCCGAAAACGCTCAGGTCCAAATAAATAACGATTTCTGATATATTCACCCTTAATTATTTCGGAAAATTGCGAGAAAAATTGAAGATTTTAATAAATTTTTAAAAAAGAAATAAAATATTTTCTTTTTAAAAATAAGCATATTAAAATCTCCAATTTTTAATATATCCCAAAAAGATAATATTTCCCCCAAAAATATGATTTTTAGAAGCAAAGTAATTTTAATACATGTTTTATATCAAGCAGAACCTTGTTAGATATATGTTTTACTTATGTTTACATTATCTTTTTTCCTGTAAGAATTCTTCAAGTTTGGTATTGTACCATTTCAGGACACTTAACAACCTTGTTGAAATGTGGCTGAGAAGTGAACGGATTAGCAGGAGATTGCGTGGCCGTTTAAGTTTAAGCGGTGTAACGGCATCAAAGGCAACCGGTCAACGAGTGCAAGTTGCAAGAAAAGTACAACATATTAATAACAGTAGTCGAGTAATAACGTCAAATAAATGCAGCCGATTGAGTCAGTGGCGGCGTAGATCATCCAGTTTTTTAAAAGAAGTAAGTTAAATGTCTACTAAAGATAAAAGATTTAAAAGAAATTCTTGTTCGTGTCATACACACTATGATATCATGTGCTTTTGTACTCTCAACAGACTATTTTTACTTTTTTTTTATTCTATTAAAAAGATTGTTACTTTCGTAGGCTTGTAAAGAAAATGTTTTACACTTTGCCAAATCCACGCCTATTAGACGGGAAAGAGGACCTCGCAGAAGAAAATGCATAAAACGTTCGATGGTTACATCGACCCCTTTGCATCGTCCTCCACCAATTGACACAGTTATTGTAAGTTATTCTATGAAGATAGCTGTATCACTTATGTCCAATTTCTTCCTCTTTAGATAACTTTATCCAGGAGATATTTTGCACATTACAATGGAGATATCTCCTGGATAAAATTATCCGCAACTTATCTGAATGAAGAAATTGAGCATAAATTATAATGTAATATGTAATGTAATAATATTTTCTAGTCTGCTAAAAACGCGTCGCCATCTAAAGTTTCGGAGGAGTCCAAGGAAAATTGGAATGGCGGATCTACTCTGCCTCTTTTTTCGTCAGTAACGAATACAGACTCGCGAGGTTTGATGATACCGCCGGTACATGACTTGAAATCTTCCATACCAAGTGTATCTTCGCTGACGTGTCTAATGCCTCCGGTATCTCTAGGATCGCAGTCAGATCTCGCATGCTTGCTTGATGATGAGGGAAGCAAGAATAACGGTACTCGTATACTTACATATGCTTGTGTAATCAAATTAATCCTAATTTATATTTTTATGTTTTATCTTTCCCTTCCTTTTTTTTTCTTATAGATACTACACTATCATCATCGATACACTACTCCTCCTTATACGCGCATGCCGAAACTTCTGCAGAATATTACAGTTTGATGCACTCAACGTCGATATATAACGTCCGTACCACGTACAACTCATCCGACAAATACTTCCCGAACGGAGGAAAGTATTCGCTAATCGATAACAATGAAAACCGCAGTGATCTCCCAAAAGATCAATATGCTATTGAAACAGACCCAACAAAATATGAAACAACTGCTGGATATCCCAGTACAAAATACAGTATACCAGCAAGTATGTACAATATAAATCCTCATCATCCATCTGATACGAATGGCAATCTTAGTGACAAATATGATTCCGAGGACGTCGGCAGTCGTTATCACGAGGTTGAATACATGGAGGTGGGTAGCGAGGAGATAGTAGAATCTTGCGATGTAGAGAACATGGTTACTCAAGTTCAGGAAGATTGGGAGCCATTCGATCCTTATGTCTTCATCAAACACTTGCCGCCCCTTACGCCGGCGATGAGAGCGAGATGTCCGGCTCTACCACTCAAAACACGGAGTAGTCCGGAATTCAGTCTGGTCCTGGATTTGGTATGCTCGTTCAACACACTCGGAACAAGTACACATATACACGCAGATAAAAATCTTAACACATACATTTATTAGATATTATCTAAATATTTAAACACAAGTTCAAATCATGTTGTCATCCTATGTTATTTTTATTTTCTACAAGATAAAATTCATAACATTTCCGTATATATCTATATATATATATTTATAATATAAAAGCAATGATTAACAGCTACATTTATCTATGATCCTTTTGCAGGATGAAACATTGGTTCACTGCAGTCTACAAGAACTATCTGACGCGGCATTTCGCTTCCCAGTAGTCTTTCAAGACGTAACGTACACGGTATTCGTTAGAACGCGACCGTATTTCCGCGAATTCCTCGAACATGTCTCGTCGCTCTACGAGGTGATTTTATTCACGGCGAGCAAGCGAGTGTATGCCAACAAACTGATGAATCTACTGGATCCAACGCGAAAGCTAATCAAGTATCGCCTGTTCAGGGAACACTGTGTATGCGTTAATGGAAATTACATAAAGGACTTGTCTATCTTAGGCAGGGATCTATCTAAAACCGTCATTATTGACAACAGCCCACAAGCATTTGGATATCAGGTAACTTAATATAATATGGATTGTCATTTATATGTACGTTATTTATACATACATCTGATACGATCTCTTTCACTAATATAGAATATATATATTTAACCATGAAAACCATGTGTTTTATGTTACAGCTAGAAAATGGTATACCTATAGAAAGTTGGTTTGCCGATCGTTCAGATAACGAATTAATGAAATTATTACCATTTTTAGAAAATCTGGTAAACTGGGTAAGCTTTTATCACATATATTTTCTGATATATTTACTATTAGAAAACAATTATTTAGTAATTTTTTAAATTATTTTTATATTGCAGGGAGGTGACGTAAGGCCACGCATTAGAGAACAGTTCCGACTATTCAGCTTTCTACCACCGGATTAATTTAAATAGCGTACACACAAAATTTAAGGTTGTTGAGATATCTCGCAACCAACAAAAAAAAAGAAAAAATACAAAATATCTTAAAAGATACTGAATAGATAAATAATAGTTATTCCGCGATACGTAGCATAAGCCGCTATAATATAATACTTTACAATGTTTCACAAATGAATATATGCCTGTTGGTATATAGAGATGAAATTAAATACTTTTAGATTTTTGGAATTACCGTTCTGATTCATTGTTCACAAAAAAAAAGAATTTGTGAACAAAGGTGTTGTATATGTGCGATTTTGTTAGTACATTCGTTTAGATTTGAAGTCTAAAGTTTAAAAAAAAATGTCAAGAAAATATCAGTGAGCATAATAGTCTTGTGATTACTGTATAGTTTCTATTAATACTTCCAAATGAATACCAAGTCTCTCCATAACGTGATTGTACGACCTCTGTGTATATAATGAGACTCGTATCTTTTACGTACAAAATATTATTTCACAATTTATTATTACAATATAATATTTAAGAGCAATATATTTGTGATTAATAATTCATTAATTTTTTCTGTATCGTCAGTATGTGGAATTTATGATCTCTGTTTATCTTGCTATTTGAGATTTAAAAAATATTTTTTTAATTTTATTTTAAATCTTTTATTTTTACACATTTTTTCTTTCCTTCTTGATTATATATTTTATATTTTAATTATGATGAATTTCTTATATTTTTAAAGCAATTTTTTAATCTGTACATCTAGATTG